AACAGTAGCAGAGACCTGTGCCCCCAACTATTTTTGGATGATAAACATTTGTATCAGGTCAACAAAACATGGGCACAGTAACAATATTTTTATACTACATCTATCCATTTTAAATACACTAACCTCACTCCTTTGTAACAACTAAGGCAAAATGTAATTAATTCAGAAAATCTTTTCAGGACCCCACTTTGGGAAACACTGCTGTAGAGGACCACCCTAGAYGGTCTAATTAAACATGTAGATGTAGAAGTCCATCCTCACAAGCCCACCAACCTCAGTTCTTGCATCCACTGGCTGTAGTCACCAAATTGTAAACTCAGGGTCAGATCTACCGTTCAGTGATCTTTATCTGCACATCTGCATCAAGCTCCATGTAACAAGGTCAGTTGGTTCTGGGGTAGTGTTTGGTGACAGGGTTTAAGGTTTTGCTGCTTTCAGTTTCACAATTGTATTTTTATTAAAACTGTCAGAATTGGATATTTTTCAACAACTGATTAACTTTTGAAAACAACAAAATTTAAGATGACCACCACAGCTAAACCATCCATTATCTTTCAGGATCACTGGTGCCCTGTGCGAGGGGCAGGGTTCACCCTGGTCAGGTCACAAGTCAAGTCACCAGTGAATTGTCAGAACCAGTGAGATAAACTAATGTTTTCAGTGGGAACCACAGACATAAACATCATCTGTTCATCACTTCCGTCTTTAGGAGGAAATAGTTTTATTTTTGTTCTTTGGTTTAAAAAGATTACATTTAATGAGGTCAAACAGCTTCTGCCATCAGTTTGACTCACAAACATGTTTTTTTTAAATGTACATCTCTAAAAATAATTATGTTGTCAGAGACATTCGCCCCCTGCCCTGCCTTTGCAGCACAAAGTCACAGCTTTTTCCATGTAACAGAAAGAGGAAGTGAAAAGGCTGCTGAAAGCCCCATGAGCTGATTCTGCTCGGTCCAAAGCACAATAAGAAAGGGAAGTGAACACAACACAGAACCTTTAACAGCACAAGCCTGAAAACAGAGACGAGCACAGACTAACGCGACAGGACAGGTAAGACTTCAAATTTATGCTTCGTTTTTACTTTGACTTCATATTTGTAGAAGATTTGTGAGTTATATTCCACTGCTGTTAATATAGATAATATAGTTATAGATCATGTAGAAATGTGTGAACTTGTAAAGAGGTGGGCAAAGTGAAAAAAAAAACCCAACTAATATACCAACCACRAGAACTGAATCTCATTAGCTTTTAATGTCAAACATAAACATATCTCTTCAATAATAATTCTGACAGAAAACAGTTGTAAGAAATAATATAAAAAAATAGATTTATGATCATTGATCATTTTTTAACTTTGTTTTTATTATTATGGTAGATTTTAACAGATGATCATTCGGCACAGTTTGGAGAAGTTGTTTTATTTCCTATTCCTTATTCAATCCCCAACCCACCGAAACCAAACCCTGTTTTTTTATTTTAAAAAAAAAAAAAAAAATCTTAAACTAATTTTATTCTTCTGGTAAACTGAGTCAGACGACAGGAAGTGAGCTGTGTCACTGTCACCTCCCTGCTGTGTGACCACAGAAACAACTGCAGAAACATGATGAACGAGGATGATCAGAATCAAACAGAAGAACGAGTTTCTTCTGTTCCTACAGAGGAAAAATGAATAACTGTCTGTTTCTTATTGCAGATCTCAAAATGGCTCACGGTTGCCTCAAGTGTTTAAAATACACCATGTGTGCTGCCAACTTCCTGTGTTTTGTACGTATGTCTCAGAAGGCACACACACACACACACACACACACACACACACACACACACAC